ATGGATAATTTATGTGCTGATGTGATCCTTGGACAAGACTTTCAAGGTCTGCACAAAAAATAGAAATTTTATATGAGGGCAACAGAGCACTTCTAAAAGTGTATGAACTAGCTAGCATGAAGATTTTTACCTCCTCTCTGTTTGAAAATCTGTCACCTGACTGTAGACCTATATCTGTGAAATCATGAAGACACTCTAGAGAAGAGGAGGCATTTATAAGTAAAGAAATAAAAAGCCCATTGGATTTAGCTATCAGTGAGCCCAGTAGATCTCCGTGGAGATGGCAAGTAGTGGTAACTAAGGATGAGAAACAAAAAAAGTTAGGTATAGATTATTCACAAACAAATAGTTTTAAAAGATGCCTATCCTCTACCTAAGATTACAATGATGGTTTCAGAAACAGCAAACTATACTCTGTTTCCTAAACTAGACCTAAAAAGTGTGTATCATCAAGTTCCCCTACATAAAGCAGACCACCCTTACATGGCTTTTGAAGTAAGTGGTAAATTATATTTCAAAAGGATGCCATTTGAGATTACAAATGGAGTGGCTGAGTTTTAAGGAATTTTGGATGAAATAATTAAAAAGAAAGGCCTAAAGGGAACATTTGTGTATATAGATGACATGACTATTTGTAGCATTAATAAAAGAACATGACACTAACTTGGAAAGATTCAAAGAACTGATTGAAAAGCATGGTCTCATCTTAAATGAGAATAAATATGTTTACAGAGTGACAAAAATAAAACTTCTGTGCTATGTAATAAGTAAAGGGACACAGTTAGACCAGACTCTGAAAGGATGAGACCTCTGCAAGAACTCTCTTGGCCAGGAAATATAAAAGCTTACAGGAGAATCGTTGGAACATTTGCTTACTAGTCACTGGATCCCAAACTATTTGCTAAAAATTCATGCACTAACACTATATTCCCCCTACATGCTAAAATAAATATTTGAAAAGGAAATTAGAAAGAGCTGTAGCACATGCTCTAGACAAGGAAAAACCACTTGAAAATGAAACTGATGCTAGCTACGTGATCTTAGCTGCAACACTAAATCAAGGGGGCATGCCTGTTGCATTCTAGTCCAGAACTCTAAATCCCTCTGAATGAAACCCCTCCCCAGTAGAGAAACAAGCTAACGCAATCATTGAAACAATCAGGTAATGGAGTCATTACTTGAAATGTAAATATTTTATTCTTGTAACAGACCAAAACGCTCTATCCTACATTTTCAATAAGCATAAAGCTTCAAAGACTAAAACCAACAAAATTTATCGCTGAGGAATTGAAACTTTCCACTTACAAATACGGTATCAGATATCGACCATGCATCAAAAACGTATGCCCAGATGCATTAATGAGTACATTGTGCTTCTGTTGTAAATATTGACCTTAAAGAATTACATAATAATCTATGTCGTTCTTGAGTATCAATAATGATGCACGTTATCAGGTTGAGAAATTTACTTTGTTCAACAAAGGAAGTAGAGAAAATAACTGAAAAATGTAATGTGTGTGCCATAGAAAAACCAAGATTTGTGAGAGGAGGAGGCAAATTAATCAAAGCCACTCAACCCTTCAAAAGGTTGAATATAGATTTCAAAGGACCACTTCCTTCAAATCAAGGAGTAAACAAGTATTTATTGACCATCATTGATGAATATAGTCATTTCCTTTTCACTTTTGCATGTAGGGATATGCTCACTACAATTCTATTGACTTGCTTAAGTAAATTATTTTGCATATTTGGTATGCCAAATTATATACACTGACAGAGGATCTAGTTTTATATTGGAGGAGTTAAGATGTTTTCAAGAGAAAAGAATAGCTACTAGTAGATCTACTGTGTACAACCTATGGAGAAACAGTCAAGTGGAGAGACTGAACGGAACTCTGTGGAGGATGATCAACTTAGCCTTAAAATTGAGAGGTTTACCTGTATATCAAATGGGAAACCATTTTATCTAATGCTCTCCACTATTTGTTCCTTACTGTGTACCGCCATGAGTTGTACTCCTCATGAATAGATGTTTACTTATCTGAGAAAATCTACTTCCAGAAGACCTGTTCCTTTGTGGTTGACAATTCCTGGGAAAGTGCTCATGAGAAACTATGTTTAGAATAACAAGTATGAACCTACTGTACAAGAAATTGAGCTTGTTAGGTTACCAAATGGAAAAGAAAATACTGTTTCTCTATGTCACCTTACTCCTGTGGGGAGGGGATGACTATCCCCCAACCTGAATCAAATTTCAAATAGTCCTATACCAGGTTTGGATGTAAATTACATGCCAAAATTAGAAGATACTGTACCACAACAAGTGTCCAGCAAATCAAATGAAAAGTCTGAACCAGGAACCTGTAACTTTCCTAGCCCAAACACTGCAAAAATCCCCCCCATTCTCTAAGACACTCTAAATGTATCTTCAAAGAACTTAAAAACTCAGATGCAAACACCAAACAAAAAAAAAAAAAAAAATTTTTTTTAAATTAATGTGGTTTAGTTTTTTTAAAACTGCATTCCTTTTCTTTTGCTGAAATAAAGTATTCCAAATTTATAATGTCAAAAAAAAAAAAAAAAAAAAAGTGGGGGAGACTTGTATTCATATGCAAATCTCCACCATATAAATAGCAGTTGATACAGCTGGAGGCTAAACTAATCCTGACCTTGAAGATTGAACTACTAGAGAAATAGTAGTGAATACTTTCTAGATAACTAGTTTACGACATGGCCCATGTTAGGTCAAATCTTGACCAAAATTCATAAATGGAATTTGTTATTTTTTAATACTATCGAATTTTTTGGCTGAACCCACTAATGAGAAACTGATGTATAAAGTCAAGAAAACCCTTCCTCTGACTGTTGCTAAATCCATATGCAAATCAACTTATAACCTGACACTTAAAAAAAAAAAAAAAAAAAAAAAAACCTGTTCCTCATTAAAAACAAATTAGAGAAACAGGGATGATTACCCCAAGAGAGTCAATCTATTTTCCATTGGGAGCAGAAAGAAGGCCCTATCTCCTGAAAATTTAGTGTCATGTTTATCACCATTCAAGACTATTCTAGGAAAAACTCGGATGTTATCTTTGACTAATTTGCATCCAACAAGATTACAGTAATAGCTGGAAAATAATGAACCAGCTTTGTAAAAGTCAAGTGCAGCCTTAGAGATAAGTGGCAAGGTTCAGGTTATTAATATATTAAAAAGCTTTTTGTCAGTCAGAATAGAAAAAGGACACATTAAACAAAATAAACTTGCATGTCTTTATTATATAGCTAACAGCAAATTTAGTATAGGAGATAAAAGGAATTTAATATAGAATAGGCTGCACTATGGATAGTTTTGCCCAATAATGCAAGCTGACAGAAAACTAAAATATTTATCTAAGAACTGAAGTCATTTTCTTAAATAGCCTTGTCTGATAGAGACTTTCATATGGATATCAGGCATAGCCCCAAATTTGTTCAAAAATATCTAAACTATCAGCTGTCTACAACTACATTCTCAGATCAGTGATCAAAAAATGGTTTCAAGCAAATGAAGACCATAGGTCTTAGTGAGGATAATCTTCCTTTGAACCTCCTGGACTGGAACTACAGAATCACAGACTGTACCAAAATAACAGAAACCACATCACTTGAATACTTGCAACAACTAAAATGGATAGAAAATGTAACTTGAAGAGATGACATAATCAAAATGTTGGCATTCCATACCAATTCAAACAAAATGTTAAGGAAGCCCCTATCAATATTGGAAAGGGTGATAACAGTTACTGAACTTAAGAAAACTAGTTTCCTGAAAAATCGTTTTAATAGAAAGATTTTATAAATTTTAGCTGACAGTAGATGCTTGCTTAATGAATGCCAAATGTTTCCTTATAAGAAAATGGCTGATGTAGCAATGTCAGTGTCAGCTGATATCTTGTTAAAAGAAAAACATCTGAAAGATGTTACAAAAATTTCCAACAGTTATTGTCTGAATGATTATCGGCTAAGTGAAGTGGACTTCGCAAGAACCATGTCAAACAACTCTGACAAAGTGGTTCAACTGAGTGGAGTGGACTTGATGAATGACTTTTTTTTAGATGAAAGATGACAGGATAAAGAACATTTGCTCCCTATAAGACAGTGGTCAGTAGCAGCTGAAAACAGAGGACCACTTGCCATGACCTGAAAAGAAAGGTACACACCAATTAGACCCCCCCCTCATCCCTCTCCTCACTTGTCTACAGCAGAAGGTTACAAGTGAATAAAATTTGCATACTACTAAAATCTTCCCATGGTTTTATTTCATGGGTAACGATCTGGACAAAGAATTTTTTTTTTTTTTTTTTTTTAGTCACAAGTGTTTGACAAGAAAAAGCTGCACCCTGAGAACAAATCTGATGTCTGGTTTGAGCTGCAATGCTAGACTAATATTACCATTAGAAATGAGTAAAACAGATACTACATTTCCATCCCAGCCCCATGGCTGGAGAGCCACGGAAAACATAACTCAATTAGCACTGGCAGCTAGGTCAATGAATGCCGAATATTTCCACATAAGAAAACAGCTAATATTACCTTTACTCAACATTCAAAAGCTCAACTTGGCCTTAAACAACTCTGGTGAAACACTGGAAAAATAAAAAATTACTGGGCCTTTTAATAATATATAAGTACAAATCAAGAAAAACAATTTCACTAGGAAAAAGATCAATAATCACTACATGGGCAAGTAGGTCCCTGGCCAAAGCCAACACACAGCCACAAAGTAACCAGCAAAGACTAGTATACATACACTTTTACTTTTTGATTCTAACGGTCATTTTTTCCCCTAATTATTAACTTCTATTCTCATAGCTTATTTGCTGAAAAAGAAAATTTGTTCTGGTACACTAGTATATACTTTCACTCTTAAAATTCATTGTAAATTTAAAAAAAAAAAAAAAAAAAAAAAAAACTTTTTGTGGTAAATATTCAACAAAACTAGATATAGAAACGTAACTTACTATTGTGGTCAGACTCTGCAAAGTCAGTGTAAGCAGTAGATTCATTGTAAACATTGCCACTCATGGCTGCGGAGGGCCTGCCAATTGCAGCTACCATAGCTGGTGACATGGGGTCATTCATTGGACTATATCCAAGATTATCATACTGGTTGGGCTGTGGATGAACTGCTTCACTGTATGGAGGTGGAGATGTGTAGGGAGCTGACATTTTGTAACCTGAAAGACAATACAAAAATAAAATGTAATTTAAGCACAGACTGATATTATAGAATTTACATAATTCATTTTTGGAATTAAGGAACAGACAATGAAATGTTTGTATTTTATAATAAGGAAAAAAGAGTTATTATTTACAATTGTGAGATAATTACAGCATGAGACAAGCTGATAAAGAAAGATTAATAACTAGAAATCATCATTTTGCCTACACAGTCTAAAAGTTTGGATTTGTCAAAAAGACAGTTGTACCAGCCTTTGGAAATGGGCTGAGGTTGGATGCTGAGAAGTTGGAAGAACGGAGAGAGAGAGAGAGATTAGCACCACCTATACGGAGCAGTGGTGCAAATGAGAAGTGAAAGAAGTAAGAGTTAAGAGGCGGTCACTCGATTCCTCTGACCACTCTCAAAAGTGAGCTGGACAACCCCTAAATTTGAAAAAATTACTTGAGTAAACACATTTTGAAAATATGAGATTTTAGAAAGGTTGATGCCAAGGGTGGGAGATAACTGAATCCCAGACCCTGGTCAACCCCACACCTGCCAGATGCCATATAAACTGGAGGTTTGAACAACTTACAAGCTTGCACATTACTGCTACTGGAATCCACATTGGTCACTGATACCTTCTGACCAAGACTTTGTGCCAGCCCCGAAGACCAGAACTAGAAATTTAAGTTACTACTAACTTAAGCTGTAAACTCCAAAAAGGGATCCCAGTGTCATTTGATTATAACAGGTGTGGTGAGGGTGAAAACCACTGTATGTAACAATCATATATAAACCAAATCATTACATTCTTAACTAGAGTCAATTCTTTATTCCCCAAAATTTTTTTGTGTAGCTCCTCATCATCAACCTGTGAAACAGGAGTGTGGTAGCCTTAACAAAGGGAAGAAAACTGCTAAGAGCAACAGGGAGTAGGAAGGTGTGGAGAGCCATGATCGTCTATGTCTTGAAGGGATGCAGCACATAGAAGAAAAGTATTAATCAATGAGTTACAGGTTTCTTAACAGCAACCTTACAGTTTTGTAACTTTCTTTCTCAATTCCAACTTTATCTTTCTGTTTATAAATTAGAACTTCAAGAACCGTTATCAGTCACATGTGTTTATGATAGGGGAAAAAAATCTACTTCTACTGATAGTTCAAAATGCCTGGCATCCCAAATTACTCTTTACTTCTCCTTACATATTATACAGAATAATATCAAATAGAGTCTCACTCTCTACAGTCAAGTTTAACCATAATACATAGAGGTTTTAAAAAAAAATATAAAGTAGGGGGAAAGAAAAAATAGCTTAATGGATTAGAGCAGTTATTTGATGTAATAATGTCAGAAATTGCTCTCATTTTGATTCAAGAGTTTAGCATGTAGATTTCTTGATAGAAAACCATATCTGATGATAGGTATAGTAAGAGAAACAAGAAGAGTTGTAACCTGACATGTTAACTTACTTAAAATCATAAATCATCATAAAATAATATTTACAAAGCTTGAAAAAAACAGTTAAAATTAGAAATAAAAAGTGAACTGGTGTTTTGTTTTCTATCTTACTAATATTTACTATTACTGCCTGTGAAAAAAAAAAAAAAAAACACTACACAACACCTACACACAACCAAACTTAGGTGTGCCTTATGTTTGTGTGAGTGTGTTTTTTCACATTTTTCGAAAATTATGAGGCTTGTAACTTCATTAGAAATATATGTTATGTGTCATGTCCCTTCAGGACGTAGGCGATCATGGCTCTCCACTTCTCCGTATCCCTTGTAGTTCTCAATATGTTTTGTCCTTTTGCTATTTCTCCTGGACCCTGTTCTATCCTCTATTGGTTAAGCCCACTAGGTAGGTCATGCATTGGTTTCCCTTGTCTCTCTTTCGCTCTTTGAGTATCAGATTCTCTAAGCCCTCCTTTCATTTGTACACATTTCTTAAAATAGTGACCAGCATTCATATTTACAATTGCAATATTTTGTAAAACTTAAGCTCAAAAATTTAATGATGCAATGCAGGGGTTTCTATGGCTATTTTATTATTATAGAGCTTGCCATGAGCTACCTTAAGAAATCATTTAAGAATTAAGATCCATCAGAATATGAAAACTGTAAAATTCACAAGTTAAAAACTAGTAAATTTTAATTTGCTAAATTATTATCCTTTGTATTTATTAGACAAACTTATTTGACTATTACATTAATAAGTTATCAATGATCATCCTAGTTTTTGAAAGCCTTCTATTACAAGGAATAAGTTTCCATGATAAAAAGATCCATAGCTATTTTTAGTAATGAATCAACTCAGTATTTATATCAGCCAATATCCCTCTTCCTTTTCAGTATATATCGGCTGCTAGAAGTAGTATAGATTCAATAGAAGATAAAATCCAGTAATTAATAGACAAAATGAAAATGGATTTTCAATATTTAAAATATACTTTGTCTTTACATTCATCATGTAACATGAATATAAGGAGAATAATTGCCATTATGATTGTGGATTAAGATTTAGTTCCTAATTCTTCACTTAACTTCAAATAAAAAAATTCTCTTAATCTGGAAAAAAACACAGTGAATAATATGTTCATTAGTATAAATTATACACATCTAAAAAAAATATCAGTTGTTCAGATTGATGTTGATACATAAAATAAAAATCTGAAGAAGAAAAAAATAGAGTTCTAGCAAGTAAATACAATTTCCACAAAAGTCTTTCAACTCAATGAATATTAATTTACCAACACTAATGACAGACCCCTTTTGAACTAGTTACATTTGGAACAATTCTTCTCATCTCTTACTTTGGTCCCAAGTACTAAATGACAACTAGAATTTGAAACCCAATACACTGTCATTATCATCAATCATCACAGTACAAACTAATAGTTTTATCATTATCTCATTGTCATTCCCATCCTTAAAATTTGGTGATCACTAAGATGCATACCACTTAGATCATTACTGTATTATTAAGTATAGTTAGAGAAAAGAAAGTTATGAAACATTAAAAGAAAGCTATTGTTGTGAACAACATTTAGGAAAAAGTTGAAAAATGATAATATAAAAATGCTGCAAATTTGTAATATTTTAACTAACATGATGGTGGAGAAAATCATCTTTATGAATAGATTTCAACATGGGTTGAAGTGATAAATCAACTGTGAATTAGCAGAAAAATAATAAAACTACACAATGAGAGATTTGCCTAGCAAATTCTGTACTAACCTACATTTGGCAGCAACGTCTCTGATCAGGAGATTGTTACTGTTCCCAGGTCCACTCTGACCTAGGGTGGTAGCACCTATTAGGATCCCAGCTATGAGCAAATAATGAACCACAAACAAAACTATGAAAGTATAAAAAATACATTTTTATAGTAAAAATACCAGCAATACATTATTATATAAAAAAAAAAAAAAACTAATATTTTTTTATCTTTAGTTGAAGGCATACAATTGCGTTCAAAATATATTTAGTTGAAAATATTTCATTTTGGCTTTAAATAACCCATATTGGTTGATATGCCCCTAAACAAAATCAACCAACCAATATTTACTAACCTCACCAATCCAAATTACTGAAAACAAAACACTTTTCCACACTATACACTTTCAGTTTATTAAATTGTACAATTTTACCACAAATGCTAAATTGCACCATATCAAAAAGGTATCCACTTCAACTAAAACTTTCATAACAAATTTGATTTCAGAACAAATAATTAGGGTATAATGAACTAGAGTCTTGATCCATGATTCTTAAATTATAGCTGCATGTTTTGTTCACTAAAACTAAATGGCATGATCTATCACAGAATTTATTACTTTAGAATGCATAGATTGAGGGATTCTTCCCCACACACATCTATAATAGTCTGTTTTAGTTCCTCAAGAGTGGCATATTGGTTATTGTCAGTGTACACATCTCTTGTCATCATTCCCCAAATATTTTCTATGGAATTGAAGTAAATAGAGAGTCAAAGCAAGTCACTTTATCACTGATGATACATGATCACAGAGTTATGAAACAGATGTCTTCATAAAAGGACAATTGACAATTAAAGTTCTCTTAACAGTAACAAAACAGAGTAGCACACAGCTAGTAAAGCTACACCAGTTCATAAGTCCTTGATGACCAAATCTATAAACAACCCTTTCGAGTTTCTTGTTATTGAGCATAAAAAATAAACAGTTGAACCCATCAAGATTGAAGTGTTTTTACTTGTCTAGATAACATCCAGTAGATCAGAGTATGCTCTGAAATAATCTCTGCTCACCAGCTTCTTTGTAGCATTTATAGAATTTGGGCTTAGGATTACTGGCCAAATGAAAGATTTCAATACTTACTGTACCTGGCTGTTTGTGCAAATTTCCAAATAACTTGACAGATTTGCTATAACATCTCTAACAATTTGTCTTCTAGTCTGTTTAGAAATTTTAATTTTCTTCCAGTTCATTTCCATAAGCATCAAGATTTCTCAGTTTCATATCACAGTGATAGATCAAGATTTTCATAAATTATGTAGATGACTCTGCAGCATCTAGAGGGACTTTAAAGTACCATCATTCAGTTTTCTCCCAAGTAAGAGTGATTTTCTTAACCTTTCTGAGACTCATTTAGGTAGTTCTTCAGTGTTAAAATTACAAAAAAAAAAAAAATTCTTACAGTTGCTAGGGACCAAGAAATTAGCTTTAATTACAGAATTGAACTCATTTAATGAGTAACCATGAAATAAAACATTTTTGAAGATTTATATCTGCAGTCCAAACACAAGATAAATCTTTCCAAAATAGAAACTATGATCTGAAATTGAAATGAAAGCAATGATAGCATATATACTGAATCCATCAAAAATTCAAGACAAGAAATTAGTAAATACTGAACACTTCAAATGCCTCTGTGTATGGATCAGTTATGACAAAAGGAAATATAACAGAATAGGCTTCACCAGAGGTAGCTGTGCCTAACAATGCAAATTGCTACAAAACCAAAACATCAATCT